GAGCCTACGATCGAAAGATTGAGGGTTCCAATCTCATAGCTATCTGTAGGGCTGATTGGTGTGGAGTAGTTGAAGCCCTGCGCTTGAAACGTCCAAGTGACCCTCTACGTTCCTAGATCCTAACAGCTTCCTATTTGCGGAATGAAAAGCTCCAGTCATACCCGCCCGTACAAATCAAAAGACTACGGGGTTCAAGGTCAAAAGACTGAGGTGTATGACTGTAACCAAATGCTGTACATGCGCTTCGGGCCAGGGATACGATAATTACTGTGTTTGCAAGCCCCCATGTGGGAATGGCAGGAAAAAGAGCCAAAAAGCCAAAAAATTTTTACAAAATTATGAATTAGTTTCGATGTAAATATTCTCATCTGAAACAATTTCATTTATTTAAAATATAAACAAATTCAATTAAAAAGCGGGAGTTGACATTTTGTCGGAGAGTTTTCCAGTTGGGAGTCATTTTTAATTTAACCATCTTGCAAGAAAGTGTCCAAGAGTTGTACCAATTTCTCCCACGTCCTTTTAAATTTTATTCAAAAATAACTAGCCTCGATTGATTTCAAAGAAATGGTAAGTTTATTATAGTTAACAAAGTATTTTTTCAAGCACTATCGGCTCTTTTTCGAAAGTTGAAAAGAGGCTCCGGCTCTTTTTCCTCCACCACCCCCCCCCCCCCCCCCCCCCCCGCCTCACAAAAGCGTCAATTTTATGTGTAACGAGGGATTTTACAAGGTTAATTATGAAAATCAAAAATGTTTGTCATGGCCTAATTAGTTCGCATGCCAATTTTTGTAACATTCGGATAAAGTGAACAAAACTTCACTAGTAAAATTTTGCAGGTGGGGGGAAAAGGAAAAAGAGCCGATGCTCCTTTCCAGTTCCCCCCTTTCAAAATACCGAGTGTTATATTTGTTTTACGTGTTATTACGGCTAAATGCGTGATGTTACGCTGTAAAGTATGAAGAACAAATCTGTTCATAATTGTCGATTAGTTCACCACGCCAAATTTCATTGCATTGTGACAACGTTAAATAGACTTTTCAAAATTGAACTTGAAAGGGGGGAAACTGGAAAAGAGCCTGAAATGATCTAGTCTTCCGCTATTGACACAAAATGGTTTTTGCCCAAATAGTTTATGAGATAAACACGATAACAAAGTTTGAAATTCTTAGATATCTTAGATATTCTGAAATATAATCTTAAAGTTTTCATGTTTAATTGCTTCCCAACTGTTTTTCCCCTTGTTTTAGTATATTTGTCGATCGTATCTTCTCGCAACGATCACTTTCGTCTTTCTTCACTTTCCACTAGCACTGTTACTACGACAAGCATGGATGCAAGAGACGAGAACAAATTCAAACAGCGGCGTGAACAAAGAACTTCTGGTTCGCAACTCGGATCAACTGCTTCGGAATTGTATGGGATCGAGTTGTGCAATGCGAGAGAAACGAGAAGCAATTCAATCGGCTCAAGCGTCGCAAGAACTCAGAACCAAACCCAACATTGCAAGGCCAGTAGCTCCGCCATACAGGCTCAAAACAACAGATTTAATTGGCGAAGCAAACCAAATTGGTAAGAAGAAGACAAACAATGTCAAAAAGAGTAAAGCTAATAAGAAGGGAAAACCTTGTAAACGAAACAAGAGCAAGAAAAGGTCAGAGAAAACGGCTAAAAGAAGAAACTTGAAGACAGGAAGGTTATCATCATCAACGCCTGCAACAGCGAAGCGATTTAACCCCTGGAGAAAAGCAGAAAAGATATCCAAAAGGACTTTCAATCCGTGGAGGAAATCTAAAAGTTTGACAAGCCGGTCGTTTAACCCATGGAGGAAGTCGGAGAAAAGTGATGGAAATGTTTTTTCAAGTATCTCGGAAAGATCTCTTTGTTCAAAGGAGCCTACTTCAAAAGATATGTATTCAAAGAGTCTTGAGCAGAGTCCGTATAATGTACGAAAAAACAGGCCTTGGTATGATTTGAGTGGTTGTTTTTTTAGTTTTTGATATAAAAATGATTGAAAGAGAAACCAAAATGAGAAACTAAGTTCCAAAATTTAAGTGCCTTTTTTTACTTCAGCTTTGAGTTTTTCAATAAATGTTTCGAAAAACCCCCAACTTATCTTTTTCATAATGCAACGAAACTTGGCATAGTGATCAATTTATAACTATTGTGAACAAATTTGTTCTTCATACCAAACTTTGTAAGTAACATCACACATTCAGCCGTAAAAATAGGTTAAACAACTATGGATAAAGAAATTTTGAAACGTGGCATTGAAAAGAGCCATGGTAACAATGAACTGAGTTAAGAAAGCAGGTTGTCTAATTTTTGAAAGCTAATATAAATTTGTAGCAATTTTTAATCTGCGCGATTGCGTAGAAGTAAAAAGGGTAAAAAATCTCAAATAAAACAGTTTCGGCGCAATAAAAAAAATGGCTCTTTCCCGTTTGCCGTCCCACATTTGCCTCTTTTTTCTCCCCCCCCCCCCTCCTCACATAGGCATCGTTTCTATAATGGCCCAATTTAACCGCATGACAATTTTTGTAACAACCGGACAATACGAACAAAATTATTCCCCTCCGGTGAGGGGATTGGTGGGTCTGAGGAAAAAGAGCCAACATTTTTCCTGTGAAATCCTTTCTTGTATAGTCCAACAACAAAAAAAAACTGCTAATTTTAAACCAATGAAATGATGAATTTAGCAGAAAAATAATTCTGTTAATTTTGTTAGATAAAAAAGTGAATTTTAGTACTAATACAAAAGTTTGAAAACCATAAAGAGGCCAAATTGTGCACTGGATAGGCGCACAACTTGTATCTGTATATTCCTGGATTCCAGAAACAAGTCTTTAAACATATTATATTTTTGTCGGAACGATCAAAGAAAACGAAGAACGAAAGAAGAGTAAAGGGAGCGTCCTTGTTGTGGAATCCGCTTACAATTCACAAAATGCACAGTTTGACCTCGTGATGGCCAAGAAAAAAACCTTAGTCGGTTGAGCGAGCAAAGTCTGATAGAAATGATATTCGGTGAAGTCAAAGGGACAGTGGTTTAGGGGTATGATTCTCGCTTCGGGTGCGAGAGGTCCCGGGTTCAAGTCCCGGCTGTCCCCATTATTTGAAATTAAGCCTTTAGCAATTTAACCGAGCTCAAAAGTCTTGGCTCGTTCCTGTTTTAGAACCCGGCTAAGGAAACTTCCCGCGTTGACGTCCATAAACAAAATGCTTATCATACACTTTCATATATGGCGTCTATGAAAAAAAAATGTATCATACAGTTTTCATACAAAAATTTAAACTTATTCCAAAGACTTCTAGTACATATTTTTTTTTCTTGGATTTTTTAAATTAAAATTGATTAAAACGATTTTTTGGATTAAAATTGCTTACCATGTCTTTTTCATGTATGGAATTTTCATGACAAACGTTTTTCTTTGTAGAAATTTTTTTCAAAATTTCACTATTTTCTTTCAAAATTTTTTTCACAATTTAAAGTTTCAACAATGCAAAAAAAGGATTTCAACCAGTTTCATAAATTGAAAAAAAAAATGCTTTTCAGACAATTTCATAGCATGGAAAACATGATTATCATACTATTTCATTCTATGGAAAAAAAGGCTTATCATACAGTTTCATACTATAAACAAAATTGCTTCTCATACCATTTTCATACATTTTTGAAGATGAAAAGGTTGAAGAAAAAGCCATTAATTTACTTCCAGTGTGTAAAAAATTGCTTAAAACTAAATTTCATAGTTTAAATAAAGAATTATTTTGCTCGTTTCTTACTATTTTTTGAGCTCATGAAATAGTATAAAATAGTATGATAAGCATTTTTTCATTGTCAGAATTTGTATGACAAATATTTTTTGTCAAGCCTGGTTATTAGGCTGAGCTCTATGACAGGAGCGAGCAAAGACTTTTGAATTGCAGTAGATAAAAATGGTCGGCTCCTCCATCTTTCCCACCTTTCACATTTTTTATTATTATAGCCTATTATGGCTAAACAAGCAATTTTACATTGTAAGGTATGGAATGCAAATCTGTAAGGTGTGAAGAGCGAATGCTAGTTTGCTCAAATGCCAAACTTTATTGAATTGTGTCAACGCTAAAGCAGTTTCCAATAAATAAAATTGAAAGTGGGGGAAATTGGAAAAAAGCCAAATAGTTAAATACACCCATTTGAAATAAAGGGGACAGCCGGGCCTTGAATTCTGGAGCTCTCGCACCCGAGGCGACAATCCTAACCGTAGATCACTCTAACGCTGCGGTGATTTTGTTGCGGCCCAGAAAAGACATATCAGGACTTTGCGCGGTCCAAAAAATTTATGTTGCGCCTATCGCGATTCAAACAGGGGGTGTCTCGACTTTGCGCTGCCAAAAAACTGTGCGCAACTTTGATATGTTGCGGCTCTGCTCAACGATTGTTTTTGTTTTCTTAGCAACTTTGCGCAACACACAAAAAACTCAAATTCGCACTAGCAAAAAATTTGTGCCACTGCGCAACCAAGGATTTTTCGATAACCTTGTGCGACAGACATTATAGATATTTTGCGACTTTCTGCGACCAATACATCTGTACTGCAATTTTGCGCGATAAAAAAGCATCTCTTTGACTGTATGCGCCCCAAAAATTGGCTCTTTTTCAGTTCCCTCTTTCGATTTTTTCTGAAACCTAATTATGAAAGTCTATTAAAAATATCTTTTCATTTTATACACTGCATCAAAACGTGACAGCATGAGCAGGTAAACAAATTTTTACAATGTTTCTTTACATGCAAAACGCCTGTTTGCAAAATAAAAATTTTTGAACCGTTTTTTATTTTTTGACGTTACGAGGGCGGTGGGAAACTGGAATAGAGCCCAAAAGAGCCCAAAACTTTTTGAGTCGATTAATATCTTCTTTCAATTTGTTCAAAAGGAAACAACTTTAATCGACTTACTCAAGTTCTGTTAAATTTTATTCAGTTTGGCCCGAAGTTTCCAGATTTTTTTCTTCATAGGTGAATTTACCAGAATTTCCCTGTACAAAGTCATCGGATCAAGAACACTCTCCTATGAAACACTGGCTACTTTCACGACCGAAATTGAATCAACCATGAATTCACGACCTTTAACCAATGTGTCTGACGACATCAAAGATGATCTGCCTCTCACTCCCAACCATTTCCTTCTTGGTCGTGGAACTCCAAATTTACCGCCTGGTATCTTCAAGGACAAGGATTTATCTCTGTCAAAATCATGGAAAGCATCCCAACTACTCGCAGATCACTTCTGGAATCGCTTTCTTCGAGAGTACTTACCAGGTCAGCAGAAACGATCAAAGTGGACTTCTGCGACTTCCAATTTGCAACCCGACTACATGGTCTGGATGTTGGAGGATTTTACACCTCGTGGACTGTGGCCTCTTGCTAAAGTGGTGGAAACCTTTCCTGGACAAGATGGAATAGTCCGCTCAGTGAAGCTGAAAACGCCAACTGGATTCAAAGTTCGATCTGTGGTCAAATTGAGCCGCGTTTTCCCAGTTTCGCAGTAACCAAGCTCCAAATAGCTAACCAACCAAATAATCACGCAACTCAGCCTTCAACATATCAACTCGACAAAGATGAACAAATCTACGACTCGTCAATTCAACTAAGACAATCAGCTCAACGATAGACAAACCAAGATGAAGATGAAAAAGAACAATTTCTGGTTCCCTTATCTACTGGTTCCCTTATCTTTGTATTTTTACCGTATCCTTACTATTTTATTCAATACTTTATTTGCAAGCTCTGCAAATGTGGGCGGGTGTTAATTGTAAACAATTAAGGTCACCTTTCTCTCAACTTGACTTTTGACATTACAGCCAAGCTGACTCACTCGTTTCTCTCAACTTTTCAAAAACAGCATGACTTACAAGGAAATGACAAACTTTCAGGTAAAATAATGTTTCAATTTATACGAAAACTCGGGATTAATATCAACTTTTCTGAATAACCCCCTTATTAACAGTTCCCCTTTTTCTAACGTTCGCCTTTTAGTATTCCCCGTACCATGTAATATAATATCCCTATTTATGATATTATATTTACCTTAGTTTTAGCCCTGATTTACTATTGTATTATTTTTCATGTACTTACTCAACTGATGCCCAACTGCATGGAACTCCTTTGACTCAACCCTTAAAACTACCCTTACTAACAATTGGTGTACTACTCTCCTCAGGTAATTTACCCAATTATTAATATTGGCGCCCCGAAAAAGTTTTGATTAGCTCGTTACACTGTGTTTTTTATTCCCCCACAACCAAAAATTTATGGTTAGTTACTGTTTTTCCTCCCCAGTTTTTACGTCTGCGGTTTATTATATCTTGTTATAATACTTCCCCATTACAATATTATTTCATTTATTTACAGTTAATCGCAGTTTATTTGATTTACATTTTTAAAAAAAAAAAAGATCAATTATTGCTCTTGATTTCTAACCCATGTAAACTTTAAACGTTTCAATTGTTCATAGCTTCATTTACTTTGAATAATGTATTAAGTTATTTTCATCAATTTTCCCCTTTCAATTCGTTTTGCTCAACTCGAGTTTGCTCAAAGGGCCCGATCTTTTGTGCAACTTAACAGGTCTCATAATTCGCTTTCGACAAAATAAAATAGCAATATCTGCTGACATAGATGCTATGTTTATGCAAGTGCTAGTCAGCCCAAAGGATAGACCTTTTCTAAGATACCTTTGGAAAGAAAATGGTAAATTAGAAACTCACGAATATACACGACACCTTTTCGGTGCCACAGACTCACCATGCGTGGCTTGCTACGCAGTACGACGATGTGCATCAGACAGTAAAAACGACTTTCCTCTGGCTTCTGAAATCATTCAACGGAATATCTACATGGATGATTTGTATGTCACTTCGTCAACGGTAGAAGAAGCCCTCCAACAAATGACACAACTACGAGGATCTTTATCTCGAGGTGGGTTCAACTTGAATAAGTGGAACTCAAACAGTAAACCATTCCTGGATTCAATTGATCCAAATATTTTAGTCAGCCCTAATGATCCAACGCCTAAACATCAACGAGTTCTCGGTGTTCACTGGAATACAAACACTGACTGCTACTTCATCGATAACAAAAAGTTTGTAAAAATTCTACGTATTGGCATTGCTACGCAACGGAAACTCCTGAAGTATACCGCTTCTTTATTTGACCCACTCGGAATAGTGGCTCCATTGACAATTCGGATTCGAAAAGTTCTCCAATCTGTTTGGTCACAAGGTGTTAAGTGGGATACTCCATTAGACACGGATAAACTTCCCGATTTCAAACTTTGGGTAGACGAAATGGAAAATTTCGAAACTGTTTCATTCCAAAGGAACTTCTTTGATAAAGAAAACCCTGCTTCAATCCAGCTTCACACGTTTTGTGATGCATCAGAATTCGCTCTCGCTGCTGTTTGCTACCTAAGAATAGTCTACAGCGACGGCTCCACATCTTTGAAGTTTATAATAGGAAAGACAAGAGTCGCTCCTATGAAACGTGTTACAATTCCCAATCTCGAGTTGCAAGCTGCAGTATATGCTGCCCAACTATCGCTCTTTGTTTCAGAGGAAATTGACCTCAAAGTTGAAAAAACTTATTTCTGGTCTGACAGTACTACTGATTTGTATTGGCTGCGAACACCTCTTCAGAAAATTTTAGACGTTTCTAAACCTGAACAGTGGTTTCACGTTCCAACTCTGCTAAATCCTGCTGACGACGGTACCAGAGGATACATTGCTTTAGAAATGACCTCAAGCTGTCGGTGGCTACTAGGACCGGAATTTCTGTTGAACGATTCTTCTCAATGGCCTTCACAGGAAAACATTCGGCTTGAGACCATTCCTGTATTCGTTACTTCATTAGAGGCTAAATTTGAGCCTATATTTGACATCAAACGCTTCAGCAACTGGAAAAGACTAATACGGACAGTTGCATACTGCTTCTTATTCGCAGAAAATCTCAAACGGAAGATCAACAAACAGTCGAAGGTCGATCTTCAACTCTTGCATCTAACGAAATCGCACTTTCTCATAATTAAAACTGCCCAAAGGACAGATTTTGTCTCTGAAATTTCAGACATCAAAAAAGAAAAACCAATTGAAGGCAAAAGTAGACTTCGAACATTAGCACCGTTTGTGGACAACTTCGGTATCCTGCGTTCTCGTGGACGTCTCACGCGTGCCCCTATCATGCTATCAGCTAGATATCCAATCATTCTCGCTGGTGAAAACCCCAATGTTCGCCTGCTGTTAGCTAACATCCATGTTCAACATTCCCACTGCGGAAAGGAACAAGCAATGGCCATAGCACAGGAAAACTACTGGATTCTTCGCTGCCGCGTCATGCTGAAAAGTATCATACACAGTTGTATACCCTGCAGAAGAATGCAACAACAAGTCGACTACCCTCAGATGTCAGATCTTCCAATTGATCGACTGCCATCAAAAAATCATTTTCCTTTTGCAACGACTGGATTGGACTACGTTGGACCTTTTCCCATCATCCTTCAAGGAAAACAATACCAAGCGTATATTTTACTGTTCACATGCTTAGTGATCAGAGCTGTGCATCTTGAAATCTCATTAGGACTATCGACAGACAGCACTCTTCTTTGTATCAGACGCTTTTTTGCCCGGCGAGGAAAACCATCGAAAATGGTTTCTGATTGTGGGACAAGTTTTGTGGGCTCCAATTCTGAGCTGAAGAAATGTCTAGACAACTTGGAAAAGAACAAAGAATTTGTGGAAAGCATCAATCAGCTGGACGTATCACTCGAATGGAAATTCAACCCTCCTGCGGCCCCTCATTTTGGTGGTTCTTGGGAACGACTAGTTCAGATATTTAAACTTTCCCTGTACAAAGTCATCGGATCAAGAACACTCTCCTATGAAACACTGGCTACTTTCACGACCGAAATTGAATCAACCATGAATTCACGACCTTTAACCAATGTGTCTGACGACATCAAAGATGATCTGCCTCTCACTCCCAACCATTTCCTTCTTGGTCGTGGAACTCCAAATTTACCGCCTGGTATCTTCAAGGACAAGGATTTATCTCTGTCAAAATCATGGAAAGCATCCCAACTACTCGCAGATCACTTCTGGAATCGCTTTCTTCGAGAGTACTTACCAGGTCAGCAGAAACGATCAAAGTGGACTTCTGCGACTTCCAATTTGCAACCCGACTACATGGTCTGGATGTTGGAGGATTTTACACCTCGTGGACTGTGGCCTCTTGCTAAAGTGGTGGAAACCTTTCCTGGACAAGATGGAATAGTCCGCTCAGTGAAGCTGAAAACGCCAACTGGATTCAAAGTTCGATCTGTGGTCAAATTGAGCCGCGTTTTCCCAGTTTCGCAGTAACCAAGCTCCAAATAGCTAACCAACCAAATAATCACGCAACTCAGCCTTCAACATATCAACTCGACAAAGATGAACAAATCTACGACTCGTCAATTCAACTAAGACAATCAGCTCAACGATAGACAAACCAAGATGAAGATGAAAAAGAACAATTTCTGGTTCCCTTATCTACTGGTTCCCTTATCTTTGTATTTTTACCGTATCCTTACTATTTTATTCAATACTTTATTTGCAAGCTCTGCAAATGTGGGCGGGTGTTAATTGTAAACAATTAAGGTCACCTTTCTCTCAACTTGACTTTTGACATTACAGCCAAGCTGACTCACTCGTTTCTCTCAACTTTTCAAAAACAGCATGACTTACAAGGAAATGACAAACTTTCAGGTAAAATAATGTTTCAATTTATACGAAAACTCGGGATTAATATCAACTTTTCTGAATAACCCCCTTATTAACAGTTCCCCTTTTTCTAACGTTCGCCTTTTAGTATTCCCCGTACCATGTAATATAATATCCCTATTTATGATATTATATTTACCTTAGTTTTAGCCCTGATTTACTATTGTATTATTTTTCATGTACTTACTCAACTGATGCCCAACTGCATGGAACTCCTTTGACTCAACCCTTAAAACTACCCTTACTAACAATTGGTGTACTACTCTCCTCAGGTAATTTACCCAATTATTAATAGGTATATTCAGACCTTTGATAGTAGATAGTTTGCAATCTTGGGGACCAAAAAAAAAATCTTCAATTTTGTACGACTGTTGGGACGGATAAAATTCACTGATACCATGGACGCTGATTTTGGCATCTTCAAATCGAGGAGAATCTAAATTAACCGTTTGGGACAATGAACAATATTGCCCGAGTCGAGTTTCAATTTTGCAAATTTTAAGTTGCCAGTTTGCGCGGTTTATGTTGCTAAGTTTGTCACGAAATTTTAGATGCCTTTTTTCAATCGCGAAAGTCCGTTTTCAATACCGTTCTAGGATCGCAAACTTATACACATGGGAAGTTGACCCAAGTATTTGAGGACAAAATTTTCTCTGATTGAGTATAAGCGCATGATAGCTTGAATTTATAATGAGTTTAATAAAACTCTAGTTTAACAAAAAACAGCCAAATTGCTCGGGCTGAATTTTTGGTTTTGATGATCACGATCCATTTTTGGTTTTCACAGGCCGTCGCGACAGAAAACGGGTACTTTTGGACCACTGCAAGGAGATCCATTTGAGACCAGCGCGACCAAAGAAAAAAATATCCGCGACTATAGTAAAAATGTCCGCGACTGACAAGACTGTTGCCCGGTTTACTATAAAGTATTATGAACTGACAAAAAAATGCTTTTATTATGGAATTTCAGTTCTTCTATTGTGATCTTTTTCCTTTTTCTGAAACCTAAAATTTGCTCATTGTTGTAAAAAATCTTAAATAAAAAACTGAATTTAGATTCAGATTATTTATTCCGAGATTATTTCAAGATCAATTTAATCTGCCATTTTTTTCCACTCATGCCTTTTACGCTAAAAGCCTTTCGCCAAAAAAACTTTATACTATCTTGATGCTTTTTCTGGACAACCGCGACTGAGTTTCGAAGTAAAGTGCTTCAAGTTTCCTGACTATTGTGTGACTAAACTAACATATATCGCAACTAACTTGTTATACCCTCATCTGGTAAGTGAGGTATAATCTATATCTGTCTGAGTCTATGCTGAACGCTAACTGAGAAATGAACGATTAAGAGAACAACTTAAATTCATTTAACCATGTTTAAGTCTGGCTGACACTGACCTCGAATCAATTGAGAGACAGTGTTTCATAATAACTAGTACAAATGTCATTACGTATAAATAGGTACTTACTTTAATCATCAGACTTCTATATGTGTTATTAATCAGTTATGTTTATAAATTGTAATCATTACCAACTGGTAGTTCTAGCACCTAAATCTAGATCATTAACAAATGATGTTTTCTATAATATCCGTACGGATAACATTTCCCTCTTTTTGATTAAGTGAGAATTCGCTTATTCCCTTTTTCTTTCTCCGTGGTTCTGGTGTTTTCTGGTTGTAGGTCTTTTTCCCTTCGGGGTGCGCTGTGTGATGCGGTTTGTTTCGTAACTTCTTCTCTTTCGCGCTGAAAGGTCATGGAGATTCCTCTTACTGGTGAAATGACCTGGAGCATATTCATTGCCTCCTCGAAATTCTTGCTGAAGGATTCTTTGGTTTTCCTAGCTTTGTCTAAGATGTATCGGGAGCTTATTGTTTTTTTGCTGCCGGTGTAGTGTCGTGTAAATTATCGTTTCTTGTGATTTCCGGGGTTTCTGTTTCCATATGTATTTCGGTACACATTATTTCCTCGGAAGAACAGAGCGACGGGAGCGTTCCGGGAACCGGATTCTGGTTGTTTTGCGGAGTTACGATTGGTTGGTCTTGGCCGTTGACGTCGGCTGTAGTGAGTTCTACGTGCGCTACCAGGCAAGGTACAGAAGCTTCTGCAATTTGTGCAATGGTTATGGCGTCTCCGAGTTTGGTGGCTAGTGCACTGTTCCTTTGTCTGGATGATCGTCGAATTTCGGGTGACTTTTGCTCCGGTGTGGCCTTTATGTCCAATCGTTTTGCGGCCGGCTTATCAGGTGATGGCGTTTTCTCGTTCACGTCTGTGTCTGACGAAAGTGAAATGGACGTGTCGCACTCGAATTGAACTTTTGATAGATCAACTTTCGGTTTTTTCTGCGGACTCATTTTTTCAGAAGGTTTTGGGCGTTGTTGAGGTTTGGAGATTTTCGTTTGTTGCTTTGCGTGTTGAGCGAGCTTTGATTTGTTGTTGAACGTACTGAACAGTTTTTGTGGTCCTAAGGCTTTTCTGTTTAGCGTTTGTTGCAGGACGTCTTGGATTGTTTTCGGAGGTGAGCGCTTTGGGCTGATTGTACCCTGTGTGTCCGCAGTGGCAGGCAGGGGTTTCGTGGTCTTTTCTCCTGAAACACGTGGTTTTGCTCGAGGTAGATGCTTATATGCCACATAATCCTTTAAAGCTGCAGGCCTACACTTTCCGTAGACCCTTGGGTCCGGAATGAACGCTACACCGTCGTGTCGAACAACCCGTGGTTGTTTTCCATCCTCTCTAATCCATGCGGTATGTGGAGAGTAATTTTGGACAGAACCATTTTCAATAATCTTGAATTGTGCCCCAAACGTGCCCGGGTTTTTAATTTTCCGTGCGATAGTTTCTGATTTTCCAGCTACCTGTTCTAATCGACGTCCGGTTTTAGGGTCAATTGTGTGCGCGGGACTTTTAAATCGGTCTTTTAAAAAAACTAGGGGTGCCCTTTGTAGATTTTGTTTTTCCTGATTGGTGAGCAATCTTATTGGTTTACGCGTTCTTAAAGTTTCAAGATTATTAGACTTTTCCATTAGAAATGATCGTTTGAGTTTTAACGCGTCGTAAGGTTCATTTGAAAGAGGAAAATGCGCACCTATCGGGAAATTCTTGAGGAGTTGTTCATCGTACTTGTCATCGCTGCTTTCCAGCGTAATTGCGTCCTGTTGGTTACGGGAATCCGGTTGGACTCTGGCGCGTTGCTTTCCCGGGTTCACGTCTATAGAGGTACACGTTGCACCCCGCGGGTTAGCAGCTGTTGTGGCAGTGTCCGTTTTTCCAGAGTCAACTGGAGTACAAGTGGGTTCCGGCAAGTATTGGTGATCTTTTTTCTTTTGCGTTCCTAGTCCTCTAGCATCCGTTCCATGGTATACGAGATCCAGTTCCTCGTCACTGTTATTTTCTCGATCCCACATAGCTTCCGCTGAGAGTGCTGGTTTTGTGAGGACTTTCTCATCTAAACATGATAGCCTAGTGTTTTCCCATGAAAGATTTGAGAGTTTCGGTGATGTGCTAATATTCGTTAATGGTGTATTGGGCCGTCGTCCAAAATGAGCCTCAAACGGAGTTACTTTTGTGGTTGCGTTAGGTGTAATACGAAGTGTTTTAATTAGCTCAGCGACGTCAGATGCAAGTTTATATGGTTTATTATTTTTGTCGATTTTCATGATTGCTAGTCTCGACTTGAGGGTTCTTATTAGCCGTTCAACCATTCCCATTGCTCTGTGGTCATCCACTGGTGCGAATATTAGCTTGATATTATTAGTCTTACAATATATTAAAAACTTTTTGGCCCGAAAACCTTGTGCCTGATCACATCTGATATTACGGGGTACCCCATGGTTTAGCATATGGTTTTTGCATAAATCGGATGATTGTATCAGCCCTGTTATTTGAAACCATTTTTGCGTATGGGAAGCGTGAGAAGCGATCTACTCCAACTAAAATTTAGACTTCTTTATCGTTTTTATCCATTAATGGGCCCGCAAAATCCAGCTGGATTTTTTCGTTTGGCTCAACGACCGCGTCCAAAGTCGTATAATGCTTTTTTCCTGATATGACCTAAAGATTCTTACCTTTTTCGCGGCAGTTTTTACAATTTTGTGCGGTGGCCATAATATCCCGATGCGGGTAAGGATAACACACATGTTTGGCGGCTTCGATCATGCCGCCTTGTTCTGGATGAGTTAGATGTAGGGCGTCCATCATTGTTGGTCGTAACTGTTTTGGAGTAACGACCCTGTCGTCATATAGTAAAATGCCGTCCCTGACTGATAATCGATGACGTACATTGTAGAAGTAGGGGCCATAGCATTGCTTCACATTGTCCCATTTTTGTTGCTTGATCATGTTTATCAATGGTGAGAGATTCCGATCACGTCGCGTAGCTGCTGCCAAAGGTTCTTACGAAATAGTGGCGTGTCTTCCTCCACCGTGGTTGTTTGGCATTCTGATGTGGTCGTCTCTTCTGGAATGGTTTGACAGATGGCGTTAATTTTCTCGTTCTCGATCCTCCGAAACGTATAGCTCTCCTCCGATGGGATGACTTGATGGGTCACGTCACTAATTGCAAGTTCTGGCGGTGGCGGTTTGTATAAGTAATCATTAAACGTG